TCAACCAATCAAAAAAGCTAATTGCGAGTTTTTCAAGTTCCTAGGCCCCAAGCTAGTGGCGATAATTGTGTGGACGGAGGAGGGGGAGGAGGTTGTTGGGCGACGCCTCTTTTTTTTTAGAAAAGGAGGATGATCCCCGACCTCTGCATCTGGTAGATGCATACGGTCATTTTATTGATTATTCTCGAGGACCTTACAAAGTTTTACAACAATAAGCCTGAATCCACCATCTTGGCAACACATGCCACTACTCCTATCCAAAGTGATGAAGGGGTGTTAGCTGGGCCACTACTCAAACCACTCACCTAAGTCTAACATCAAAAAGCCGGAAACCGAAACATATTCGGAAGCCCCAGCCGAGCCACATACCGGGTCTGGGGCACAATCCGGTCAGACGCACTCGTGTGTCGTCGCCACCATCTTCCGCAGGTCCGTCTTCAGATCATATTGAGGCTTCTACCTTGTCTGGCCACTCTGCCATCGACGTCACCATGACGCCAGACAACAACCTCCTCCTGCGCGAGTCCATCTCCGTGCATCGGGCGGCGAGCCTCCACAGCGCCATGCCGCCGATCCTCGCCGCCATCAATGAATGAGATGAAGTACCGCTCCACCACGGCATGTACAGGGTGAGGAAGGGCGAGTTCCCCATCGGAGACACGGCCGGAAGGGCCACCACCAGGAACCAGACCAAGCTCGCAATACACACCCAGCATCCCCATGCCCAAGTCGGGGCCTTCAAGAAGGTGACGACGCTGTGGCGCCGCCGCCGCTTAGCCACCGGGGCTAGGGTTTTCACCCGGGCGCAGGAGAAGGGGGGAGGCAGGGGATGTTTAGCCTCGGCGCCGCCACCAAGGAGGGAATGGCGTCCGGGACGCCATCGACGCCGTGACCGCCACCGGCGGCCAAGGGTTTCCCCCGGCCAAGCACCCTGCCGCCACCTCCGAGCCAGCCACCACATCCGCCGGCGCTAGTACGCCGGAGATCCAGGCCGGCCGGAGGTCATGCATCACGAGCGGACCAGGATCACCTCCGATCTGACCCGGGGAGCCCGGGGCCTCCAAGCGCCAAGACCTGCGCCCACCGAAACCTCGCTGCCCGCGCAGCCGAGGGGAACCGGCCTACCTCACCGACGAACACTCCCCGCCGTCGGGGGAGCGCCATCCGCACCAGCGAGGCCGCCGCCTCAGATCCGAACACCACCGAAAGGGAGCGGTCCCCGCCGTCACCATCCCGGGGCATCCCCGCAGCCGTGGCCGCGCCCAACCCCATCGACGCGCAGCCAAGGGCACGCGCACCAGGCGTTGGACGAGCACGCAGCCAGGCGCACAGATCCCAGGCTCCAGAGGGCGCCGGCGGATCTCCCCTCTCGACGCGCCAGACTGGCCAGGGATAGCGCCCTGCCGCTGCCTTCCTCGGGGCCGGCCCGGGCTTCGCCGGCGGACGCCCTCTGGCGGCGGCGAGACAGGTGGGGAAGGGGGCGGGGACTGTGGCGGCGCTATGGTTTCTACCCCCGTGTCGCCAGAGCTAGGCGACGCGGGGGTCGCGGGGCGACGCCTCTTTCCTTCCTCCATTGCTTCTTTCACCCGTTCTGCTCGTTGGTGGTGTAAAAATGTACTACGAAAGACTAACCACAGTGGGAGTAACATAGGTAGTAACATCACACATATTTAAATAAAATAGATAATGTGGCAAGCAATAAAGAAAGAAAGAGAGGCATATGACAACATAGCTAGTTACTAATAGTATGAGTAACATCACACATATCAAGGCAAGATGAGTCTATAGCTTAATAAATAAAATGTTACGCATGCTAACACACATATATTACCCCCACTATAGAAATAGTAACATAAATTAGTAACATGGGCATGTAACTACTCTATGTTACTATCTATTATGGGTAGTCTAATCGGCTAGTATTGATACTGATCGGATCGTGGTTGGTGGCAGGTGGTGTTGGTGCTGGACCACGACACCGCCCCGTTTGTGACCTCGATCGATCCTCATGTCACATCCTCTCTTTCGCTTCCCATGAGGTCCTGATTAACTCAACTACTCGAGTGAGTGATCAATCCACCATGGAACTTTTCACTTCAGAAGAGATGTGGTTGTGCCGTGCATGTTCTCGGGGAGAAAAGGACACACGTGGCGGCGGCATCGTGCGTGTCATCGTGTCGATCTCATGTGCTCTTTTCCGGCTCTAGACTGCATATAAATAAACGTACTACAATTCTCCTTCCTACATTTGCAACTGCACCTGTCGGCAAGGGGGGCAATGCACGGTTATTGGGCCAAAGAGTAGTTCGTCAGATCTCGCTTACAACGCGGAAATAAACAACATTCTCCGGTTCCCGCTGTAAACGACCATCAAACTGATCCTTATTAATAAAATCCGTGCATCCCAAACATGCTTTTTTTACGGGAATATGCTCTATTATTAGAAAAATGCTGTGACTGACGAGGAGGTCTTATCCGTTGGATGATTTTCCGGACTTTTTTTCTCGTCGTTGGCGCGGGATCGAGCGAGCGGCGAGGTTCTTGCGTCGTCCTGCACCGTCGCATTCGCTGTGCCACGGCGGTCAGTGCGTACGGCGGAAGGCGACGGCCTTCGTCCGTGCCCGTCAGCGTCATGGGCTGGCTCGCGCTGCAGACCGATTGGCCGCCGGCTGCTATTTCTCCGGTCGTATTCGGTTCCTCTTTTATTTATGTCCTCGCTGTCGTTAATCACGAGGCTGCTTCTGTCGGGAATCGATCAGCAAGCAGTGACTGAGTAGAATACATGTATGGCAACGTTTTTTCCCTCAAAAAAAAAGAATACATGTATGGCATGCCGCGTTGGCCGGTTGCTCTCGTACCGTGTGGCGCTAGCTAACATGGATGCATGCACCGATCCAGGGAAAGCGTGGTAAGTTCAGCGTTGAGGCGATCGAATGTCGCCCGCCACAAGTGCAACTACCACAAAAATACACGCTCTTCCGGTGGGATATAGGAGAATCTGAAGCTTTCCTGGTCACTGAACCGTATATACCTTGCAAACAAAAGAAACGCATATATATAGCTCTTCGATTATGTGGTTTTCATCAGCCTGAACTAAATTTGTAAGATATACTCAAGCCATGACTGGGAACTCGTTAAAAGGCCATGGCTGCAAAAAGTAAAAATTGAAGCAAGGCCATGGCTGCTATTTTATTTTATTTTATTGAGCAAGCTATGGCTGCATTTTTTTTTTGAGAAACGCTATGGCTGCAAATGGCAACGCACATTCGGCCGTCTGGCCGACAGTTTTGATTTTTTTGAGACACTTCTGGTCGACAGGTTCACCGTTTAGATTGGCAGCCCGGTCCATTATCCTGCTCACGGCCCACTGAATTTTCAAGTTTCAGGAAGAAAAAATACCTATTGTCTCAAACTAGCACCCTCATCGAATGGATGAATCACCCTGTAACAAAACAACAGAGCTCTTGTATGATTGTGAGAGGAGGCTCTTTATTGAAAGGCTTTTTTTATAAAATATGCAGCCCAAATTTCTCAACGACAATAAGAAGAAGAAAAAACATCTGTGAACAAAAGGGAAAGAAGAAATGAAATGAAAGACACACACATACAGCAGCAGCAGCAGCTGTGTTTATTTCTCTATCGAATAACAACAGCAGTACCTGACGCTCTACACGTTCTACAACTTATGAATGGCTTTCATGTCGGCAGCCTCCTTCAGAGTCCCTTGCTCAACATGATCCCACCAGCCCATCAGGAAGTTGTCCACCACCAGCCTGAACCAAGGGGACAGCTTGATGCCACCTTCCCCGTCATCTGCTTTCTTAATCAGCTGCTTCAGCTCGTCACGGTTCACGTACTTGACGTCGGACACTTCTTCGGGGTTTGGGTTGAGCTTCACGTCCCGAACCATGAACAGGAGGTAGTCCACTAAAATAACCACAAATCAAGAGGCCACAAGATCTATAAGTCAGCACTTTGAAATACTACAGATAGGGACAACGTGCCACAAAACACAAAATTGCATTAAAACTGGAAATGCGTCAGTTATGAACATAAAGGCAAGTATTTACGTTCGTGTTCGCCCCATTTTCCATCAGATGGAGCCTTGTAAAGCATCTTCCCGAGTGGGATGAATTGGTCAACTGGTAAATCTTCAGCCTGTATTCCCAGTTCGTCAAATAGTTTCCTCTGTGCTGCATTTCTGACCCCTGAACCAGAATAAAAGATTGCGACTGGTGTTCAGTAAGGTGGAAGCAATAATGTGGATTGTGCAACTAATGTTATGAAACCAGTCTTCACGCCTCAGGGCAGATTGATGTACCTTGGCAGTTCTCCTCAATGAGCTCAGACTCACGGTGTAAAGGGTGGCTACAGCAAGTGTTTGTCCAGACAAGTGGAAATGTCACTTTTGTCGTAGACCGTTGCTGTAAAGAGTACAATATTACAAATTGTCTGTAATAGAAATGTAAGAAATATTTATATGATATGCTAGTGATAAAAAGAAGAAACAAAGTTGCAGGTTAAGGCAGTATAAAAAGATGCTAACATATGATTCAGGTCAGGTGTGCTGCCCTATTTCTGTGTAGCAAGTTCAACAGTTCGTCTTAACAGGAGTGAAGGAAGGACTGGAGATTGCACCCTCCAAAGCAGGGCCTTACCAACCGCCGAAATGATCTTACTTAGAACAAGATATATCAGTGTTCGCAGCCTACCAAAACCGATGCAGCCGTTTATGAAAATATCATTTTTCACACATATCAGCCTATATATCAACCAAAATGGCAGACATTTCACCTAACGTTTCCACTGATATGGACGTATCTGTATATGGCAATGATTCTCTATTAAAAAAGTGTTAGGAATAATATGATGCATTTACAAGTTCGTCAAATTATTGAAGATTGAAAGAATATGCTTAAATTTGGGATATAACATCTACAATGTACTTTCTTACGTTGCAGAATATCCCACGAGTCTATATTTATTACTACGTATTTCATGATCAACTAGTCAAAAATCAATCATTCACATACTCACTATGCTCAAGCATTGTTATTCTACATCTAATTTCACAAAAAAGACATGATATGAATAAGAATAGCAAACAAATAGAGGTATTTTCCACTGATACAACTATATATCATCTGATACACCATCCGATATCTGACATCATATATGCTGGAGTCACAGATGTGAAACCAATATCCAACATTTTTTAACCTTGGGGCAGCAACTAGGCCAAGACATCTCACATAAAAAATAGGCCTGACAGCGAAGATGTGAAACCAGACTAAGTTTGATTGTAGTTTCAAGTTGAAATGTAGATGAACCAAGCTATAGATTACACTTTCATACATGGGCATATAACTGTTTGCATGATTACTAGCCCAGCTAACCCAACTCCTCTTAGATTCACCACAAGCTAATCTATGCCAAAGCTCCTAGATACCTCTGGAATTGATCTTTTTTTTAACTTGACTGTGCTATGCACACATCCTTACATACACTAGACTTAATCACCCGAACTAATCTTGAAAACAAAATGCGACTTTTCATTCTTAAGCTTCATAACAAAATAACCATATCACCTAATTGATTGGAAACTATAACAGAAGTGGATCATAGTCAAGATACATGGTAAAATGGAAGTTGTATATACCTGAAGTAACAATTCATATTTGGAGTTGAAAAGAAAAACACTGAACGCTCTGTGAAGGGCATGCCCTGATTCTATCTTTTCCATGAGATGGCCTAAAATTATAAGACCGCAATTAATAAACAAAACTGATTGCTGCTAAAACAGATACTTCAATCCTAGCTCCTCAGTTCAAATGCAACAAGCTACCAAACAGCAAAGCATGCAAATTCTATGTGATGAATTGATAATAGAAAAAATCATAATTATGCATTTAATTAGCTCCTGCTCATCTCATTTTGCTGTCAATGTGCCTCAAAATTCCACCTGAAGTTTGTATTGGCTGGAAAAGTTGTTTGCTTCTCTTCTTAATGATTTTTTTTCTTTATCTGTACCACCATATAGTATACAAATGCTCCCTCCGTTTACAAATATAAGATGTTTTGGATATTTCAATATGGATTCCATACGGACTGAAATGAGTGAACAGACACACTAAGACGTGTCTATATACATCCGATTCATAAAAAAGTCAGAACATCTTATTTTGTGAACGAAGGGAGTAACTTTGAATACAGACTATTGGATGAACTCGATCCGATGGTCGAGAGGTGGCAAATCCAAGTGTTGCTGGCAGTACGATGCCTCCTTGAATCCGAATTTTTCCATGATTATACTTAGTACACCCCTTCTAAGTTCTAATGGAGAATGCATTTATCACATGTACCATCTCCACAATCTTCTATTCTATTCTAGACTCTTCCATACATTTTCTTGCTCCAATTTTTATATCTCTTGAACAAAAAAGTTTTCATTTATGATTACCTTGTGAATTTTCGTTCAAGGTGAAAGACTTGTGACCAGCTATTTTTAAAGTCTATATATATTTTGTACAGAATTTCTCCCTCTCACACAATTCACGTGCAAAGCACATACAACCTACTAGTAAAAATAGTACTTGAAGCCATCTTCATTACCCTATTGGTCAGGATTAAAAAAAAATGTTGGAGACTGCTTGGAAATTGGAATAGTATGATCCAATGCAATTCCCTAGTACCTTGGCACAAACCCCCTTCCATGGGCCAGAGGTCATAGAAAAAGTTAAGCCAAACTCGAGTACCCATCCAACTAACAAAAGATTCATTGTTGATGGCAATACCAAGAAATTTTTAGCAGCTCAATGGATGTTGTCAAACACACAATAGCTATCTAACCGAATATGAAGATAATATTGCAGACAGCATGGATGATAAAATGAGGTATTACGGAACACAATCACAAAGACATGAAGGAAATGATTAACACGTACAGTTATACTTAGACTCGTGGCCAATGACATTGTCATGTTCATCGACTAATATGCACCTGCATGGGAAATTCAACACTTCAGTTGTACTGACAGAAGATAAAACGGAAGCGACAATCTATCTCAGTTTAAGTTTTATAGTTGTGCAACCTAAATATGTCAATATGCTAACGGCATCAAAGCTAGACAGCCAAAGAAAAGAAGAGATGCTTATGCTAATCCCCTGAACCTGGTGACAGAAAGGGGAATGGCCCGGTTAGAAAATTCATCCAAACCTACAAAATTAACAATATTCTTCACAGCAAAGCACCAAACGGAAACCTCGGATTTAACGACAAATTCCACGAGGAGACGGGCGCAATTCACAGCAGAGTCAGGACAAGTTGACGAGACGAGATAGGGGGGTCGGGACACTCACTCGTCGTCGAACATGAGCCGGCGCTGGACGGCGTCCATCCCCGCGTCCGCCTCGGCGTCGACGGCGCCGGCCTTCCCCATCACGACGGCCGTGGCGGCGAACGAGGAGCGCCCGCGGAAGGCGAGCGCCGGCCGGGGGAGAAGCCCCGAGTGGGAGGAGGAGGAGGAGGTGAGCGCGAGGCGGGACGAGGCGCGCCCGAGGCCGAGCGAGGCGGCGGAGGAGAAGAGCGCGAGGGAACGCGCCGCCGAGGCCGCCATGGTGGAAAGGTGGAGGGAGATGCTCGCGACGGCTGGATTTGGGGGTTAACTGTACTGTTAGCGGGGTGGCGGGTGCGGTGGGTCACATGAACAGAAGAGAAGAGGTCTGCTACTACTTCTGTTTGATGATGTCTCGACTCCCGAGTGAGTCCAACATAAGTATCGCTTGGAAAAACAGGTCCAAGAGAAGTACGATGCCCTGCGTTTTCAAACTTTTACAATGCCGGACACATGTTTAATGGGCGTTGAAGAAGCATAACCACGTGTGTGAGATGGTGATTATTCTTGGATGGCGAACCCACATTTTTCTTTTCTTTTTCCCTCCGCAAGGGTCAATGGCATCTCCAACGCTCACCTTCAAACCCCCCGCAGCCGTCCAGGCCGCGGTCTGAACACGTTGTGCCATCCAACAGTGCCCTGCATCCGTTTTCATGGTGGTCCGGACGTACTCTCTCCCACAAACCGAAAACAAACTATGAGCTCTTTGCGGGCGTCCGGACAACCGTCATTTCCGCTTCTTACCATCCTGGCACACCTAAAACTCTCCACCCTCGCACGCGTGCGTTCCTACCTGGCGCCAGCTGCCCGCATTCATGCCGCTCTAGAGCAGCCATTTGCTACTTGTGAGTTGTATTAGAATTTTTCCTGAAGAGGAAGGGTGAAGCAATATAGTAGCTGGTAGTATTTCTCTCACTGAGAATCAAGATTATCGAACCAATAGGAGAACCACGCAAATTCTATTAAACAACACCTACACACACAAAAGCAAATACTTGCACCCAACAAAGGCAAGAGGGTTATCAACCCCCTTGAACTCGTTACTTGTAAGGATTAAATCTTGTAGTGGTAGATAAATAAAAAGAAAAGTAAATAAATTACAGCAAGGTATTTTTCATTTTAGTAATATGATTAAAGTAGACCGGGGGGCATAATTTTCACTAGAGTCTTCTTTTTCAAAACTAGCATATAGTGGGTAAACAAATTACAATTGGGCAATTCATAGGAAGGCGCATAGTTATGATGTTATTCACCGTAATGATTATGTATATGGACATCACGTCTGTGACAAGTAGACCGGCTCATGCCTGCATTTACTACTATTACTCCATTTCGGGAGCATTTCTATGCTTGCCTCTATACGTATTAAGTTCATAAGAAATAGAGTAATGCATGAAGTATGATGACATGATGTAGATAGAATAAAATTAAGCAATATGATTAAACCCCATCGTTTTACTTTTAATGGCAACAATACAAATACGCGCCTCGCTACCCCTTTTGTCATTGGATGAGGACACCGCAAGATTGAAATCATTACAAAACACCCTACCACTGAAGATAAATCAATCTAGTTGGTCAAACCAAATGGATAATATAACAATCATGCATCATAAAGTTCATGAAAGACTCGGCTACTTCCAATGAATAATGTGATCATAAATCCATAATTCGTCGGATCCCAACAAACACACCGCAAAAGAAGATTACATCGGATAGAACTCCGAGAATATCGAGGAGAATATTGTATTGAAGATCAAAGAGAGAGAATCGGCCATCTAGTTACTAGCTATGGACCCATAGGTCTGTGGTGAACTACTCACACATCATCGAAAGGGCAGCGAGGTTGATTTAGAAGCCATCCATGATCGATTCCCCTCCGGTAGAGTACTGGGAAAGGCCTCCAGATGATATCGCGCAAGAACAGAAGCTTGCAGCGGCGGAAAAATTGTTTCGGGTGACTCTTTAGGGGTTTCCCAACATTTGAGAATTTATAGAAGTGAAATTAAGTCAGACGGAGCCACATGAAGCCCACAAGGTAACAGGGCGTGCCTACCCCCCGGCGCGCCATGTTGCCTTGTCGTCTCCCCGTTTATCGTCTGGTCTCTCACAAAGCTTCTAGGGTGTCTTCTGTCCAGAAAAAAATCGTCAAAAAGTTTCGTAGCATTTGGACTCCGTTTGGTACAGATTTCCTGGAAAACCAAAACAAGTAGAAAACAACAACTAGCACTAGGCACTGAGTTAATAGGTTAGTCCCCCAAAATGATATAAAATTATATAAAAAGTATTCAAGATTGATAATATAATAGCATGTAACAATCAAAATTTATAGTTACATTGGAGATGTATCAACATCCCAAGCTTAATTCCTACTTGTCCTTGAGTAGGTAAATGATAAAAAGCAGAATTTTTTTATGTTGAATGCTACCTAGCATGTTTATCATGTAATTTATTTATGGTGTAAATGTTGGGGAACGTTGCAGAAAATAAAAAATTTCTACGCTTCACCAAGATCAATCTATGGAGTTCATCTAGCAACGAGAGAGAGGAGTGCATCTACATACCCTTGTAGATCGCGAGCGGAAGCGTTCAAGAGAACGGGGTTGAGGGAGTCGTACTCGTCGTGATCCAAATCACCAATGATCCTAGTGCTGAACGGACAGCACCTCCGCGTTCAACACACGTACGGTTAGGAAGACGTCTCCTCCTTCTTGATCCAGCAAGGGGGAAGGAGAGGTTGATGAAGATACAGCAGCACGACGGCGTGGTGGTGGAAGTAGCGGTGATCTCGGCAGGGCTTCGCCAAGCTCAGCGAGAGGGAGAGGTGGTACGGGGAGAGGGAGGCGCCAGGGACTAGGGTGCGGCTGCCCTCCCTCCCCTCCTCTTTATATAGGGGGCCTAGGGGGTGCGCCGGCCCTGGAGATCCCATCTCCAGGGGGGGCGGCCTAGGGGGGGACTTGCCCCCCAAGTCAAGTGGGGCGCCCCCCACCCCTAGGGTTTCCAACCCTAGGCGCAAGGGAGGCCCAAGGGGGGTGCACCAGCCCATCAGGGGCTGGCTCCCTTCCCGTTTCAGCCCACGTGGCCCTCCGGGATAGGTGGCCCCACCCGGTGGACCCCCGGGACCCTTCCGGTGGTCCCGGTACAATATCGGTGACCCCCGAAACTTTCCCGGTGCCCGAAACTGGACTTCCTATATATAATTCTTTACCTCCGGACCATTCCGGAACTCCTAGTGACGTTTGGGATCTCATCCGGGACTCTGAACAACTTTCGGGTTTCCGCATACTAATATCTCTACAACCCTAGCATCACCGAACCTTAAGTGTGTAGACCCTACGGGTTCGGGAGACATGCAGACATGATCGAGACGACTCTCCGGTCAATAACCAACAGCAGGATCTGGATACCCATGTTGGCTCCCACATGCTCCTCGATGATCTCATCGGATGAACCACGATGTCGAGGATTCAAGTAATCCCGTATACAATTCCCTTTGTCAATCGGTACGTTACTTGCCCGAGATTCGATCGTCGGTATCCCAATAACTCGTTCAATCTCGTTACCGGCAAGTCACTTTACTCGTACCGTAATGCATGATCCCGTGACCAAACACTTGGTCACATTGAGCTCATTATGATGATGCATTACCGAGTGGGCCCAGAGATACCTCTCCGTCATACGAAGTGACAAATCCCAGTCTCGATCCGTGTCAACCCAACAGATACTTTCGAGGATACCTGTAGTATACCTTTATAGTCACCTAGTTACGTTGTGACGTTTGGTACACCCAAAGCCTCCTACGGTATCCGGGAGTTACACGATCTCATGGTCTAAGGAAATGATACTTGACATTGGAAAAGCTCTAGCAAACGAACTACACGATCTTGTGCTATGCTTAGGATTGGGTCTTGTCCATCACATCATTCTCCTAATGATGTGATCCCATTATCAACGACATCCAATGTCCATAGTCAGGAAACCATGACTATTTGTTGATCAACGAGCTAGTCAACTAGAGGCTTACTAGGGACATGTTGTGGTCTATTTATTCACACATGTATTACGATTTCCGGATAACACAATTATAGCATGAATAATAAACAATTATCATGAACAAGGAAATATAATAGTAATCATTTTATTATTGCCTCTAGGGCATATTTCCAACAGTCTCCCACTTGCACTAGAGTCAATAATCTAGTTACATTGTGATGAATCAAACACCCATAGAGTTCTGGTGTTGATCATGTTTTGCTCGCGGAAGAGGTTTAGTCAATGGATCTGCGACATTCAGATCCGTATGCACTTTGCAAATATCTATGTCTCCATCTTGAACATTTTCACGAATGGAGTTGAAGCGACGCTTGATGTGCCTGGTCTTCTTGTGAAACCTGGGCTCCTTGGCAAGGGCAATAGCTCCAGTGTTGTCACAGAAGAGGGTGATTGGCCCTGACGCATTGGGTATGACTCCTAGGTCGGTGATGAACTCCTTCATCCAGATTGCTTCATGCGCTGCCTCCGAGGCTGCCATGTACTCCGCTTCACATGTAGATCCCGCCACGACGCTCTGCTTGCAACTGCAACAGCTTATTGCCCCTCCATTCAAAATATACACGTATCCGGTTTGTGACTTAGAGTCATCCAGATCCGTGTCGAAGCTAGCATCTTCGTAACCCTTTACGACGAGCTCTTCGTCACCTCCATAAACGAGAAACATATCCTTAGTCCTCTTCAGGTACTTCAGGATATTCTTGACCGCTGTCCAGTGTTCCTTGCCGGGATTACTTTGGTACCTTCCTACCAAACTTACGGCAAGGTTTACATCAGGTCTGGTACACAGCATGGCATACATAATAGACCCTATGGCTGAGGCATAGGGGATGACACTCATCTCTTCTATATCTTCTGCCGTGGTCGGGCATTGAGCCGAGCTCAATCTCACACCTTGCAATACATGCAAGAAACCTTTCTTTGACTGATCCATATTGAACTTCTTTAATATCTTATCAAGGTATGTGCTTTGTGAAAGACCTATGAGGCGTGTTGATCTATCCCTATAGATCTTGATGCCTAATATGTAAGCAGCTTCTCCAAGGTCCTTCATTGAAAACACTTATTCAAGTAGGCTTTAATGTTGTTCAAAAGTTATATATCATTTCCCATCAAAAGTATGGCATCTACATATAATATGAGAAATGCTACAGAGCTCCCACTCACTTTCT